TGTCCCACTCTACACAGATATTGGGATACTGTTGTGCATACTTTTAATCAGGCATTTGAGAAAACTCTTACTTTAGACCCAGTGCAATGTGTGATTGGCATTTTGGATGATGTAGTATCTGACGCCTTCATTAAACAGGCAGTTTCTAGAGCCCAGCTTCAAGCACAGAGTTCTTTTGTGACATTGGAAAAGTTCTTCCCCTCCATCCATCCCCTCTCTTCAGCATGAAAAAGTTATCTACCAACATAGGGGCTGTGCAGCCAAGTTTGACAGATTCTAGGATGGATGACTAGCGGTGCCTGGTTTGGCACCTGTAGATTTGATTATGCCCAGGCTGCTGGGCTAGCAGCTGTTGCTAATCAGTTTTCTTTCCTTTATTGTGTACCCATTGAACTATGGTATTCACAACTTACATTTCTGGTTCATGGGATTTATCATGATACGGGACCATGCCTTGATATGCATGCCGCCATCAGGCTGTGCAAAGAATTTATATATATATATATATATATATATATATATATATATATATATATATATATATATATATATATATATATATATATATATATATATATACTGGTTGTTGGTATTTGCACATCAAACCATGTCCAAAATTTGGGCATCGGGGGTGTTCTATAGCTAAACTGAGGTGCCTGCTATGTGGCAGCATTGCTATTTCAGAAGCCTTAATGCTTCAAGTATGCTTTAATGCAGCTAAGCTGGGATTTAAATTAGGAAAGACCTTTCATTTTCAAAAATTATGTTATGGCAAACCAAGTGTAGTAAATACATTTCCATTTTTTACCATCTTTAAACTAATTGTACAGAGACCTCCTCAGCACACTCCATATTAAATGATCCTTAAGAACTATAACCTGGAATTCATACTATAAATCACTGAGCATAAAATTAAAATGTATTTGTTAAACTCTTAAGTTCCTTACTTAGTTATGTGTTTATGATAACCAGCTGAATGGAATGCACTAAAACTGGTTCTCTGCCCAGCTGCCAAGCAGCCATAGTCTGTACTTTTACATGTGAAAGGTGGAGCCGCAGCACCAAAAGATCACAGCTGCAGGGGTGTACAGGGGCAGAGAAATAGAAATTTCAACAAACAGATTAAGCAGCCACCAGCACACAGGGCAAGAAGAGCCACATTCAGGATGAATCAGTAAATCTACATAATATTAGATTATGCACACTTCTTGTATTCAGTTGTGACTTGCAGCTTTTATCTTTTATTTGTTCCTTACAGCTGTTTGTTCTAATCTACAGAAGTTTGTAAACAGTAGGAAAGGTTCACTGTAAAATTAAACTGCATGGTCTATTTAATGGATAGATTGGAATGGTCAAGACTATATATGGAGGTACAGAAGGGTTTCAGGCCCCAAATGTTATAGTGCATTATTATGTAACTCCAACTTGTGCATCCGAACACAAAAAGCAGGAACATGCAAGTTTATTCTCTTTTTACATACTTATTGCTGAGCAGTATGTCCTGCCAACAGCACTTTTACTGACCCCTTTACAACCAGTGGTAGGTCAGTTTCATTGCCCCAGTATTTTTAATGATTAGTAAACACATGGGTTTCCGTGTTAAAAGGAACCTATTCACATAAAAATATGTGAGCTGGCATTGCAAGGTGCAAGTGTTGGGGCTATAATCCTATCCTTGCATCACTATATACCAAGGGACTGACACCAATCAAGGATGTAGATAGCTGGAACTTCCAACCTGCATGCCTGTTTCTGTTCTGTGACTCATTAGATATTGAAGCAATGATGAAGATATCATGGTAGCTCCCATAGTTCAAGTTTGTCCTGTTCCTTAAAAACAATGGAATTACTCATGATTTAGAGATTTTAATGCAAAACAAAATATGTATTTGACAGATTTAAAAATTCAACTGAAGGAAGCCACAGTGAAGAGTGTATATTACACTTGGCTTCAACAAAGCCCATAAATACAACTTCCTATATTTCTTTCAAGCCCAATCCATTGATTTCTGCAGGAATTAGATATGTACCCAAGTTCAGAAGGTAATCTTTTGAAACTAAAAGTGCTAAGTATTTCACCTGTGATTCTATGTAAAATAGATCGAAAATATATACTTTCAGAAGTTCTCATTAAAGAAAAATAGTGGACTAAATAAGGAAGATGCTGATCTTGACAACAACCACAAAAAAAAAAAATTACATACACCTTCAATCTTCAATTCTAAACTCTTCTGTCATTTCAAGCTTTTTTTTTTTTTTTTCATATCACAATGTTTTTTCTTTTTGAACCAGGATCTAACTGGTGGCACTTAATAAAAAAAAAAAAAAAAAAGACATTGCACATTGGAAAAAAAAATTAAAAATCAGATAGCATATTGTATTCATAAAGCCCTAAATGAATATCAATCAAGGGCTGACTGGTCAAACTGGCAAGAAGACATAGTAAGTCACAGACAAAACAAACTACACAGACAAAAATGACAGTACATTGTGACGCCTGAAGAATACTCAATTGCGTAAGTAAGTTACTTTAGAAGTCCACCTAGTTTCATTGTTCTACTCACTTGAAAGCTTTATGTCCCAAATGGCAAAAGAAAAAGTATATGTACAATGCATAAAACAGGCATTACCTCAACATATATTCAAAGCCTAATCAAAACTGATATTTCATTTTCACTGACATATTTGTCAGACGTACCAGGGCAAGTTGGCACCTACAACAGTAATTTCAACTACAGGGAAAAGGGTTCAACACTTCTGCACATAATTTACAGCTGTGACGCTATACAGTATAACTGCGAGACCTTGAAGTAAATTATGGTCTTTTAGTAAAGATCATGTACTAGGATACAGCAAAGAATGCAGGTACATTGATCTTGCTGCTGAAACCCTTTAAAATAGAAGTAGGTAAGCTTATTTAACCAACACCCACCATCTCATAAATGATCAGTTTTGAATGGACGGACCCTTAAGATTCTTCATCGTAACAGTCCAATGAGGATAAATACACCCATACATACACACAAAACTATTCTCAAACCATGATATAAGCTAAATTAAAAAAAAAGCAACAATCTTGGCTATGGTTATAAGCTAAACAAGCAGACATTTTATCAAGGTTACAAGCATTTCAGACATTCTCTAAAAATAAAAAAAACATTAAAACAAGTGATTACTTCCAGAGACAAACATATTGAGACTAATGTGAGGATAAAGTGATGATGTGCTTTGGTGCAGACGTCAACATTTTTTATATTAACTGAACATATTTTGTAATTTAATATGAAGGTCACTGAACAAGAATTGGAATGAGAAAAGCCATTTCGCGACAGACAAAAGGAAATGCTATTTGTTGACAAAGGAATTACAGTTACCATGAATGTGGGATATACATGGCCAAAATGACCTGTTGTTACATTCATACACCCAGTTAGCCATGTGAACATGTTCTTCGTTACTACAGGCACAGTGATTAGCAGCAACAGCGTTCAGTGGTACTTACTGTATACCCCACTTATAATCTTTACTAAAGGTAACTCTATAGGTATGCTCAACATGCATAACTATGATATACATACAGTTTGCAATTAACTAAACACTAACGGTGTATAGCTATATATAGATATATTTATAGATATATATGTATTTTTTTTTCTTTAAATAAAAATAAAACTTTTCAGTGCTTGTACACCAACATACAAAGTCAGCAACCCTTGTGCAAAACAATACGCAAGTAAGGGCAGATTTGGTATGGTTCGGTTGTCCATTGTTATGAATGAGAACCCTATGCCACTATTCAGGTGGGACAAAGGTTTTCTATTTAAGCATCCACATTTTCTTTGCTAAGAGATGCTGCATAAACATTTCAGTCAAACGACATCTAATTAAAAGAACACTTGAACATTCATCAGTTTTTTTTCATTATGACCAAATACGCACGCACACAGGAAAGAAGACAGGGAAAAGAAAGTATTTAAACTTACAGTATAAACAAACTTCCATGGAACAACAGGCCTATACAGAGGTGCACCATTATATATAGAGAGAGATATATTCATATATAAAATAGCTGTGATGGGAGAAGTTTTGTTAAAAGGCATAACTGAACACTCTTTTACCTTTTTAAATTGCTACTTGTTTATCCCATACGTCTTTCGGTGCAGCTATTTGTGTTGGTTTTTTTTAACAGTTTTAAATCTTGAGATGTAGAAATCCTTGGCTGTAAACAGTGTAAACAGTTAACACACACTGTCAGCTTCCATTCTACTCTTTGTCACTGATGGTTCCTGTGTCCGATAAACATTCAGAACTCCAAACAGAAGAGCTCTGCAAACATGTAAATGCATTTCCTATACATTCACAGTAATAAATGCCCTGTAAATAAGCTTGGCAGAACTTTCTTTTTATCAAATCAAAATGCACAGAAAGAAAAAAAAAAAGGTTTTAGATAATATTTCTCATGTGTATAATATATCTATACATCTATAAAAGTAGAAATATAGATATACGTAATTAGCTTTGATAGTGCAATTCAAGTCTTACCTAAGGTATCTTAAATGTTGAACTTTGTGCTGATCAAAAACATACTTGAATAGTCTTGGATTATTGAAGCAGCTCCAAGAGAGGCTGGTACGCTTGTAAGAGTATTTGTGTTGTAGATAAACCTAGATACCAGACTCTTGATGTATTATTTTTGTCCAAAGGTATTCTGCTAAAAAATAAAGGAGTTAACAGAAAAAGAAAAATAGGGAAATCTTCTAAAATACTATAGCATTTGTTTCAATAAAAAGCTTCAATTATTCTGTATGGTGTTCCATTGGCATTTGATCTACTCAGGACACTCTTGCTCTTCACTACTGTCCACACGTACATCCATTCTCTTTTCTTTATGGCTATTGTAAATTTTTCTCATTTCTTCTTCATATTTGATAAAATTGTCACCAAACCTCGTCCATACTTTGTAGGGAACTGTAATAGTGTTGCGGTAGGGTGGTCTAACCTCACTTACCCTTAGGGAATATGCCATAACGGTTGGAACCAACATCAAAGTAGAACCTTTTGTTGTCCACTCTGAATGAGGTTCCTTCTGGAAGCTCAGGGGGTTCATCTGCACCACTTCTTCGTTCTTCTATGTCACCTTCTCCATAGTCTTCAATAAGTTGAACCAGAGCATCCCTAAATTCAATCATACCTTGGGCTGGCAGAACAATAGTCTGCTCCTGACCCAGACTCTGGCCAAAGTAGCCAATCATTCCAGGGCCTCTGGTCATAGTTTGTCTAATTCTTAAAAAACGTCCACGCTGGTTTTCTTTAAGGTCTAGATAATATTTTCTGTTGTCTCGTTCAATATATTCAGTCTTCAAAACACTGTGTGTTGTAGGTTCTTCTGATCCAACAGAACCTGAAGGTGATACTGGATGTGGTCTCCTCCTGGAATCGTGCTCTTTTTCACTTCCATGGTCACTGCGTTGGGAATGACTGCTTCGAAGACCCAGGTGAGCATAATGCTCAATGAAATCTCCCAGACAATCCTTTAACTCAGCAGCGACAGACAAAGATAAAGTCAATTTGCTTTTTCTGATGTTATCCTGTCGCCCTCTACCAATCCAGACCTCTGCTATCTTCAAAAAACGGCCTCGAGCACTCTGCTTGACATCCAAATAAAATCTCTTTTTCTGAATGTCTACTCTCTTAGATGCCAATTCCTGTATCTCTAATTTTTTGTGAGGAGGGGTAGTTGTATTGTTGTGGGTAAATATTTCTGCTCATGCTTGCACCTTCCCTTTGGCCTCTTCCTCGATCCATGTTTATTTTCTCAAACAACTGTAAAAGGAAGCAATAAAGGTATAACAGATTAGAACACTAGGAAATTGAATTCCTTGTAGAAAACCCTGGTATGTGGTTACCTACTACTTAAAGTGGTTGTAAACCCCCCCCAAAAAAATCAAAATTGAAATGACCAGTCTACCGCACACAGCATAGCAGCAGAAGTCATCTGTCCCTAGTCTGGCCAAAAAAGGAGCAGCCAGTCCAGTCATCTGAAATCCTCTCTGCTTTCCTACAGTGAAAAAACCAGACACATGAAAAAAAAAGTTATGTTGCCACAACCCACTCTCCTGTGACTGACTATTAGGAGTCAGCTGCAGCCTGAGGAAAATGAGAAAACAGTAATCCCCATTAACACTGGGCAGCATTTGAGGCACCGAAGACTGCAGACTTTAAAAGGCTGGAGGGAGCTGAGCAACTGTCAGGATTTACTCAGCGGGACCCTGCTGACACTATGTGCTTATCTCTATTAAGGGAGGAGGAGATACATGCTTCACAGGTCATCACTAACAGGAGCCAAACAACCTCACACAGATTTAACCCCACAGCTCCAGGGGAGGAGCCGAGCAGAAGTATCGCAATTAACCCCTCAATTGTTGGGCACTTTTACTGTAGTGCCCTGCTTTCAGATAGTTACACAGTAAAAGTGGCCAGTCATTGAGGGGTTAATTGTGATCCTCCTGCTTGGCTTTCTCGTTGGCAGCTGTGGGGTTAAACCTGTGTGAGGCCATTTGCCCCATTAGTTGATAATGATGACCTGTGAAAGCATGCATCCCCCCTCCTCCCCTGTTAGTAGAGATAAGCACATAGTGTCGGCATGGTCCGCTGAGTAATTCCCGGCTATTATGGGAATGATCTGTGTGGATGGCTATGGGACACACGCCCCCTTCTCTCATGCACATGCATGAGACTCCTAATTAGTCTGTCAGTCGCTGGAGAGGGGGTGTGACGACAATTTTTTTTCATGTGTGGGGTTTTTTTATCGTAGGTAAGCAGAGAGAATTTCAGATGACTTGCTACTCCTTTCTTGGCCAGACTATGGACAAATGACTTCTACTGTTATGCTGTGTGAGGTAGACTGGTCATTTCAATTTAGATTTTTTTGGGTTTTAGAACACCTTAAATATACATGAAAGCAACTTCAAGGGAAATGAGCTTTTATACATTTTTCAAGTCTGATATGTTTTCATACATGAAAGATCAGCTTAATGCAGGCTTATTGATGTGTATTAATATATTTAAAAAAAAAAACAAACTTGCGTACATTGAAAATAACATGTACACAAAGTAGCCATATCTGTTCAATAGATAACACTTAAGATGCTTTGGCTTGGGACCAGTATATTTTGTTTATCAAAAGAAAGAGGTAATTTTTTACTTAAATAATATTGTGATAGGATAGCCTGGCCCACAGTTGTTGACCAATGCAGGGGGCATTTACACCATCTGTTGCAAAACTTCAATATCCCAATGACTGAAAATATTTCTGTAGTAAGGGCAGTAGTAAGTATATACTACAGAATTTAATTCGGGGTGGGAGTACCTTAGTTTTACTTTTTCTTATTTAGTTATTGGGAAACAGTATGTGTGTGTTAAAAGGGCCACGCATTAAAAGAAATGGAGTAATATTAGAAATATGGAGAGAGATTTACTAAAATTGGTGCACTCAGAATCTGGTGCAGCTGTGCATGACAGCCAATAAGCTTCTAACTTCAGTTTAGTCAGTTAAGCTTTGACAATAAAACCTGGAAGCAGATTGGTTACTATGTACAGCTGCACCAGTTTTTGCACTCTCCAGTTTTAGTAAATAACCTGCCTGGTCTCCAAATAAAACACCTTCCCCATAAAGTACTTCAAAACAGTCAACAATTTTGGAGACTAAGAATAGTGGAGCAGAAGTGAATCCAACTTAATTGATTGGTATAACCAACATCTCTGTTTTGCCCCCTTCTTGCATGACATCATATCCCTAATTTTCACATGAATTAAAAACGTCACACACTTAAAATACAGCACTAAGAGGAACCATGTGCCCTTATAATTTAACCTACTAGGAAATGTGAATGCACACAGACTCACCTGTGCTCAAGCAAAGATATCATCAAGGTCTTTCAGTACCTCTTCAACATCAGAGTTGCAGCTCCTATAAAAGAATAACATTAACAGAAAAAACATAAACACCACACATTTACTTCACACAAATAAAATATACTATGAAAAAAATATTTCTATAAAAGAAACCTATCAGAGAAATACGTTGCCATTGCTGAATTCACCTTGTAGAAATGTTAATTTACTGGCTGTCATACCAATGATTTAGCATTATGTTGAGATTAGTTTTGCTTTAACTGCCACTCCCCACAGCTGCACTTAAAACGATGTTAAAGGTTCGGGTGGAGATCGGGCTAAAATAGGTATAAGAGGGCTGGGGGGGATCCTAGACACAGAAGGTTTTTTACCTTAATTCAGAGAATACATTAAGCTGAAAAGCCTTGAGGATTTATAACCATTAAGGCAAGTGTCAACAGGCTCCTGTTCTTGCCAGAATTGCTTTTATCTCTCCATAGAAGTCTAAAGGAACGCAAAAGCAGCTGGAAGTAGGTGAAATACAGGTCATAGGGAAGTGAACTGCAGGTCAAATGCACCTGCAATAATCTCAGAAGAATCCCACAGTGATATCAAAGGCACTCTGCATTTGCTGCCCAAAGTTCTTCACCATCAGCCCCACTCACCTTTCTTTTGTTCCTTTGACACTGGTTGCTTAGGTAAAACTCAGTTGCTATTTGGAACTTACACAGGGCTAAGGACTCTCTCACCACCACCATGTAAAAGTGCTGGGTGCCTGAGCTGCAATCACCAAGCACCAGCACTGTAACACAAAGTCCATCAACGCTAGCCCCACTCACCTTTCTTTTGCTCCTTTGACACTGGTTGCTTACGCAAAACTCTCAGTTGCTAATTGGAGCTTACAGAGAGCTAGGGACTCTCTTACTTCCAAAGCCTGTGTCCAAAAAAACTGTGCGAAAGGAACTCCATAAGCAAAACATTCACGGGTCAGTTGCAACTGACAAAACACTAGTGACCAATATTAATGCTCAGAAGAAGAGAGAGAGTGGTGAACACCCATAAATGTGGACTAGAGATCAATGGAAGACTCTAATGTGGTCGATCTTCAGACTGTTCCCAACCACTGGATGTGTTTACATGTGGCAAACACTGTACCCAGCTTAAGGTCAAGACTGTCTTGTGCTAACAGTAAAGCATGGTGGTGGCACAATCAGGATTTGGGCAGCCATATTTTGGTATTCTGCAGGCCCCATCACCTTGAAAAGGTAGAGTCACTGCTAGTGACTATGAACACATTTTGCACAACCATGTGCAATCCATGGTGCAGACAGTTTCCCAAAGACAGTACAATTTACCCACACGACAATGCTCCGATTCATGCAGTTGGTGTTGTCAAAGCGTGGTTTAAGGAGCATGCAGATGACGTCTTGCACCTTCTCTGGGTGTCGCACCTCAATTTCATAGAGCCACTATGGTCAATTTTGTTGAACAAAGGTTCGGGCTCATTTTCCAACTCCGGCATCTCTATGAGAACTGGAATGATTTTTGTATTGAGTGGAGTGGTATCAGATTCCATTATCCACCATCTATGACTTATTTTTGTCAATTCTCAAGAGAATTCAGGCCATCTAGGATGCCAAAAGGTGGTCCATCACCATAGTAGGTAATGATTTTGTCCTTTTATTTGATGTTTCCATATGTTTGTCCAACCCCTGTAGCAGCGTTGACTGTAAAGGGATTGCATGATGTCTGCTTATTCACTAGTATTTTCTGTCAACAGAAGTGGCAGGTTGAATGTATTGTTTCCACAAAGACCACACTATGTTCATATATTAATTATAACAGGGCTCGGCAAATCACAGGCACCAAGTCGCCATGGCGACCAGAAATGGTGTCCTTGCGCCTGGGTTCACACACTGCCTCCCATAGAGACTTTAATGGGAAGTCGCACCTCCCAGAGACTTCAATGCGAAAAACGCCTCCTATAGACAACAGTGCAAAAATGCCTCCCATAAACTTCAATGCGAAAACTCTTGTCAATAGCAATCCTTTGCGAACACTTACAATGGGTTAAATATGTATCAAATACATCACCATTTTTCTCAGTAAATGTATTTTTAAAGATGCTATTGAGATGAAATTTTCACCACATGTCAATAACAACCCATGCAACCCATACACACAAAGAAACCAAAACAAATATGTTCAGAATTTAAGTTTTGTGTAAAAAAAAAAAAAAAAAAAAGTATTATATGGAATAACACAGAGAAAGTATTGCACACATGAAGAAAGGGAGGTGCAAAAAAGGCATGGAAAGCCAAGACACCAGCTAAAATCTATCAGCAATTTATTTATTTCAGGTACTTATATAGCGCCATCAATTTACGCAGCACTTTTACATACAGTGGGGCATAAAAGTATTTAGCCAGCCACCAATTGTGCAAGTTCTCCCACTTAAAAAGATGAGAGAGGCCTGTAATTGGCATCATAGGTAGACCTCAACTATGAGAGAAAAAATTAGAAAAAAAATCCAGACAATCACATTGGCTGATTTGGAAAGAATGTATTTGCAAATTATGGTGGAAAATAAGTATTTGGTCAATATCAAAGTTCATCTCAATACTTTGTTACAGTTGCAAGAAAAAGTATGTGAACCCCTTGGGATTACGTGGCGTTTTGCATGAATTGGGCATAAAATGTGCTCTGAACGTCATCTAAGTCACAACAATAGAAGAACACAGTCTGCTGAACATAATACTACACAAACAGTAGATGTTGCCATGGTTTAATTGCACATAACATGTAAACATTCACAGTGCAGGGAGGAAAAAGTATGTGAACCTTTGGA